TTAATTAATTAAAAAGGTTGATTAACCTGTGAATAAAGAAATGCTAAAAAGAAAAAATTAAAAGAAAAACAGAATTCAGCAAACGCCTTCCATGTGAAAAATATGCTTGGTTACAATCATGTCCATGAACTGGTATTAGAATTTGACAGTACTTGCCTGTGAGAAAAGACATTTGCATGTGATAATGAAAATGCTAATTCAAAACCAAACTAAAAAATTTTTAAAACATTATAGATCTTAACACTAGAATCACAGGGCTATTTTGATTTATGTGTTCGTAAGAATTTTACTTTAGTCTTCTAGAAATCTCCATGGGTTTTTTTAATTCTATGAAATAAACACTGCTACCAAAAAAAAAGACATTTTCAAAGCTAAGGTACACAAAGTCACAGAGAACAGCAGTAACAGTTTAACAGTTGCAACTGACTTCATGATGTTATTTCCCTCTATTAGTACACCTAGGTTCCAAAAAATAAAAAGAAGGAAAAGCAGTACACAATTATTAGCAGTATACTTTTTGTATCAATAAAAAATCCATGGAAATTTATTTTCTGTCTTTTTATATAAAGATCAACAAAATATCTATAATTTTGCCCTTCTCCCTACAAAGCATAAAATATCAACTCTGGGTATTTATGGAAGTTTGCCAATCCCTAACCTACATCAACCTCAGCACTTTGAAGGCTCTGTTTGTATTCTCTAACAAGGAAAAACCTAGATCAAGAAACAGACATGAATAATACCTGTGATCCCAGCACTCAGGAGGCTCAGGCCTGAGGATCTCAAGTTCTAGGCTAGCCTGAGGGAAGGGAAGGGAAGGGGAGGGAAAGAGAAGAAAGTAGACATTTTAAGCCAGGCTTTCAGGAATCCTCTGGGCTTCAACAGAGCCATGGCCAAGTAATTCAGAACAATGTTAAAGGAAAGGACTTGCAGAACATCCAGGATAGCTTTCCTCTTATAAGAAGTTGAAAGAAAAAGAGCACAAGCAGCCTAGGAATCCATAATCTCCTGCCCCTGCACTTTTCCTCCCTCCACCTCACAAGGTTGTTCTTTTAGGGTCATCAGCTACTCACTCTAGAATCTCAAAAAGACCAACTACACAAGCAAACCACTGGTCCACAAATGACTCCCAAAGCACAAACCAGCACCAGTTTCAATATCCACTAGGACTGTGCCCAGATCTAAAGCACCACAGGAATTTCCACCCCACTTCAGCTTCAGGGTCTTCTCTGTGTCCTCTGCACTTCCAAACTGGGATTACTAGAGAAATATTAAACCTATGGAAAAATTCAGAGAAAGTTTCCAATACTACATACATAAAGGCCAAGAAATGGTATGAAATGCATGTGAAACTGCTAACAAAATAGGCACCAGATTCAAATCTCTGGCGAAGCCTCGGGGCAACCATACCTGGCTTGGCAGCTGAGCAACAACATCTCACGGTTATGAATCAAGATATATAAAAGCACCAGGAAGGCCTTCGCTCTGATGAAAGTCGAGGGGCTGTCAAGTAAACGGATGATTGTAGACACAAAATCCTGTAGAAGATATTTGAAAATATGTTTGAGAAAGCATGAAAAATACAGGACAGTCTCAGCTGTCAGAGTAAGTAGATTATAATAATCAAAAGTTGGCAAGAAATAAATTTCTGCTACAGTTTTTTTTTAATTTGTTTCAGACCCCATACTAAATTTTTCATATGTATTATCTCATTTAAACCTGACTAAGCAAACTGCAAACCCAGAGATCATCTCTTAGTCTACACCACGAGGTCTTAACAAACAAAACACAACCCTGCACTCCTGTAACATTCAAAACAAAACACAGAGCCAGAGCTATTGACAAGGATTAATGCTTTTCAACAGACAGTCTGTAAATCATCTCAGATGCTCTATCCATGTGCAAATAGGAAAGAGACAGAGACAAGAAAGAAAAGAAAAGAAAGAAACAAAGAAAGAGAGAGAAAGAATGAGAGAAAGAAAAGAAAAGAAAAGAAATGTAAGCCAGGAATATGGAATCTTATTGTTGGCAAGATGGCTACAGAGCAGGCATATGTGTTACCAACAGTACTCAACAGAGCACAGTACCAAGAAGTAACACAGTGTGTCCAAGGCAGACTCAAGAAGCCTGAATTTTTGGTCACACCATGTCCCTTTTACACTGAATGTTCTATTGCCAAGTAGGAAAGTTTTATACAGTCATGTATGCACTTCCATTTAAGAATAAATTCTGTGGATGTTTCAAAATGAAACCTCCTTGTATGACTAATGTATGTCAATTTTTAAAAGAATGCATTCATGTAGAAGCATCAGGCTTACCTAGTTACCTAGTTCATAAACTAAATGCCCAAAGCCAGATGATTATCTGGCATGAAAAACAGAATCAACATCATGATGACCACTAAGCAAACCTGTTCCCACATTCAGCATCTACACAGTAGAAAGCCCTTCTCCACAAGCAATGCCTCATTCTAATTTGTGCTCTGTGCTGTAAGCACCACAGAACAGCTCTCTTTCCCACGCCGCCCGCACCCCAATGCACTCACTCATGATTCTAAAACATTCATATTTCCACGAGTCCTGGGCTGAACACTTTCAAATTTTAGGAGAGTGGAAAGGTATAGTGACTGTAGACGCAAGATCTGCAAGTTTGTTTCATTAAACAACATCACCAGGATAAATTGCAAACCAGTATCAGGGCTGCAGATTAGCTATAATGTTTATAGACATAAGAAAGGTCCAAATCAGTTGTAAATGAACAGGAAGCTATAGAAAATACACCTTTAAAAAAACAATGCAAAAATTCCTTTATGAAATACATAAGCAAGTGGAATCAAGCAATAAATTAAGAGAATATTACATTGGGACCAAGTAGGTTATATCCCAAGAGTCTAAGACTGACTCAACATTCGAAAATCTATCAGTACAATTCACCATTATAACAGATTGAAAGAAAATCCAAAGCTAGGGTTGGTGGCTCACACCAGTCATCCCAGCTACACAGGAGGCTGAGATCAGGAAGATCACAGCTCAAGATCATCCAAGAAAAAGTTAGTGAGACCCCATCTCAACTAATATCTAGGTATGGTGGTATGTAACTGTCATCTCAGCTACAGCAGGAAGTATAAAATAAGAGGATCACAGTCCAGGCCAGCCTGATTAAAAAGTGAGACCCTATCTCCAAATTAACCAGAGCAAAAAAGACTAGGGCTGTAGTTCAAGTGGTAGAGCACAGCCCAGCAAACGTAAAGCCCTGAGCTCAAAGCCCAGTTCTGTCCCCCACCCCCCAAAGAAAACAACACTGAAACTTCTCTATGGAGGACACTGTAAGAAAGATAAATCACATACTGGGAGAAAATATTTTAATCCACAATATATGCATAACTCTCAAAATTCAATATTAAGGAAAAACTGAAAATGCATAAACTATTTAAACAGACACTTCACCAAAGAAGATGTCAAATGAACTCATGACAGGATGCTCAATGTCATAATCATTATGGTAATGCAAATTAGAGGTGACAGTGGCATGCCACTGTGCAGGATCAGAACAGACAAAGGGAAAGACGGGAGGATGTGGAGAACCTAAAAATTTTTATATCTTGCTCGTGGGAATGAAAATGGTATAGACCAAAACAAGGTTATCAAGTGGCTTTCCAAAGTGGTTGCACCAATTTATTCTCCATCACTATGAGAGCTGCAACTGCCCTACATCTTCACTGACACTTATCATCCACCTTTCTCATTTTTATCTAAATTGCTAATTCTGAGCTCAAAGCAACTATTAATGAACACAAACGAGAACTGGTTTATACTTTCTAAAAAATCTACTATTACTTACTTTAAAGCTCTCTAAAGTTTTATGAACAGGATAATATGTTCCTTACCCCAACTCAGAAGGAACTATGATGACTCAAGGCAATGGAAGAAGGAAACAGATCTCAACCTCCTTGACAAGAATGACAGAGAAAAATGAAAACAGTGTGTAAGTGCAAAGAGAATACAATTTCACAAGTGATTTAACTATAGTTTAAAAATATAGTTTTATATATATAGATGATTATTAAGTTTTACTTTAAAATAAGCATCTTCTTAAGCAGTCTAGATTTAGCATTTGTGTCAAGTCTAAAAACATGCTAAAAAGACAACTGCAGCTTTCTCTTTCTTTTTATTTTTTTTTTTTGGATGCCCAATAAAGTAACTGCATAAATGCAAAGATTGAAAACTCCATAATTTTCATATAATATGTCTAGAAAAAATTTTTCATTGATAAATACCAACAAAAATACAAACCATTTAAGGGGGAAAGGCTTAAAAAGAAAAACAGATTTTTTATTGAGTGACAGTGAAGCTCATGAAAACCAGAGTGGCAGCATAATGTGGGCTAAAGAGCATGAGATCTGGACTCAGGAAAACTCAAGTGCAGAAGCCAGCTGCTTGACTAAAAGAACCTGTGGGGCTCAGCTTTGAATTTTAAAATAAAGTGGAGAGCATTACAACAACACATGCCATGGGCCTGACCTGGTGACTGAAGGCTTTTCTCAACAAGATGCTGAAAAGTATCACAAAGCATACAGCCATATGAAGTGCATTTGTGAAAATTGTTAGGAAGAAGACAGTGACAGAAAAAGAAAGAGAAACAGAATTGTATTAAGACCTTAGAAGATAAAGATAAAGGAAAGACTATTCGTCAAATGATATCCTTACTCTACTAACCCTAGAAAGACTCTGAACGGGTAGTTAAAATTTTAAATGAGAGGAAAATCAACTCATCAGAATGAATATATAATGTTGGAAAAATACCTATGACAGAGAAGCAGTATTTTATGTATAAATAACTTTAATCAATAAAAATGCATAAACACTCCAATAAAATAACAAAGTGTAACAATAGGTAAACAACTTCTAGAACTCTAACCTCAACAAGAAAATTAAAATATGACTGTCCCATCCAGGCATGGCGGCACATGCATGTAACCTTAGCCACTTGAGAGGCAAATGAGACCCTATCAGAAAAACAAGCTTTAAAACCAAAAGGACCACAGGTTACTCCAGAGGCACCTGCACACCCATGTTTATTGCAGCACTATTCACAATAGCCAAGTTATGGAAACAGCCAAGATGCCCCACCACTGACGAATGGATTAAGAAAATGTGGTATCTATACACAATGGAATTTTATGCAGCCATAAAGAAGAATGAAATGTTATCATTTGCTGGTAAATGGATGGAATTGGAGAACATCATTCTGAGTGAGGTTAGCCTGGCCCAAAAGACCAAAAATCGTATGTTCTCCCTCATATGTGGACATTAGATCAAGGGCAAACACAACAATGACAAAAGCAAGAGCACACAAGGGAGGGGTGAGGATAGGTAAGACACCTAAAAAATTAGCTAGCATTTGTTGCCCTCAATGCAGAGAAACTAAAGCAGATACCTTAAAAGCAACTGAGGCCAATAGGAAAAGGGGACCAGGAACTAGAGAAAAGGTGAGATCAAAAAGAATTAACCTAGAAGGTAACACCCACGCACAGGAAATCAATGTGAGTCAATGCCCTGTATAGCTAACCTTATCTCAACCAGCAAAAACCCTTGTTCCTTCCTGTTATTGCTTATACTCTCTCTTCAACAAAATTAGAAATAAGGGCAAAATAGTTTCTGCTGGGTATTGAGGGGGTAGGGGGGAGAGGGAGGGGGCGGAGTGGGTGGTAAGGGAGGGGGTGGGGGCAGGGGGGAGAAATGAACCAAGCCTTGTATGCACATATGAATAATAAAAGAAAAAAAAATAAAACAAAAAAAAACAAAACTCAACAACCTTCATGATAAAAGCTTTGAAGAACCTAGGAATAAATCGAATGTACCTCAAAATAATAAAGGATATATATATATATATATATATATAATACATATATATACACACGTATATCCTTTATTAACAAGATGTACATAGATATATAGATACAGATAACATACATAGATATGTGTATATATTGTTTATATATAACATACATATGTGCTACATAATATATACATATATAATATGTATACATATCTATAACAAACCTATAGCCACCATCATACTAAATGGGGAAAAACCGAAACCATTTCCTCTATAGTCAAGAAGACAAGGGTGTCCACTCTCCCCATTCTTATTCAATATAGTTTTAGAATTCCTAGCCAGAGCAATAAAACTGCAAGAAAGAAAAGGAATTAAATTGGAAAAGAAGAAGTTGAATTATCCTTATTCAATGATATGATCTTATACCTAAAAAATCCTAAAAACTCCACTAAAAGCCAGGTGCCAGTGGCTCACACCTATAATCGTAGCAATTCTGGAGTCAGAGATCAGGAAGATTGCAGTTCAAAGGCATCCCCTGGCAACTCATTCACGAGACCCTATCTTGAAAATACCCAGCACAAAAAAGGGCTGGCAGGGTGATTCAAGTGATAGAACACCACCTAGTAAGTGTCAGGCCCTGAGTTCATACTCCAATACTGCCAAAAACAAAAGAAAACTCCACCATAAAACTATTAGACAT